CTTCCGTTCTAGAAGTTGCTGAGCAAGGAATGTGCGCTTTGGCTAATCTGATATTGGACAGTGAAGTGTCAGAGAAGGTCATTGTCGAAGATATTATTTTGTCAGCCACTAGAATCTTACGTGAAGGTACAGTGTCTGGGAAGACACTTGCTGCTGCAGCAATTGCCCGCCTGCTTAGTCGTCGCCGAATTGATTCTGCATTGACAGATTCTGTGAACCGTGCTGGAACAGTGCTTGCCTTAGTGTCTCTTCTAGAATCTGCCGACGGAAGATCTGATGCAATATCAGAGGCCCTTGATGCGCTTGCTATATTCTCAAGGTCAGGAGCTAATGGAAATGTAAAACCAGCTTGGGTTGTTTTGGCTGAATCTCCTAACAGTATGGCCCCAATAGTCTCATCTATAGTGAGTGTTGCTAATCCTTCACTACAGGACAAAGCTATTGAAGTATTGTCAAGACTTTGCAGAGATCAGCCTATGGTTTTGGGAAACATGGTCAACAATGCCAGAGATTGTGTGTCATCTATAGCTAAAAGGGTGATAAGTACCAGGGACCCGAAAATAAAAATTGGTGGAGCTGCTATTATTATCTGTGCTGCCAAAGTTAACGACCAGAAGATGATAGAAAATCTGAATGAGACACAATTGTGTGCCAAATTTGTTCAAGCACTTGTGCGGATTCTAGATTTATCTCAGATTTCTGTGCAAGATCAGGAAAAGGATGAGAAAGATAAAATCTGCATATGCATTCATCCCAAAGAAAAGGAAGAAGATGAAGAAGAAGAGGCAACAGAAAATAGGGAGGGTTCCACGGGGGCAACAGTTATTTCTGGTGACAACTTAGCCATTTGGTTGCTCTCGGTTCTTTCTTGTCATGATGAAAAGAGCCGAGCAGTAATATTGGAGTCAGAAGGCATCGAGTTGATTACTGACAGAATAGGCAACCGTTTTCTCCAGGTATTTAACTCTCTTATTGATTAGAGTCTTTGAGATCACAGCTTATCATTCTAACTCATTTTGAGACGCTAGGTTGTCGTTTATATGACTTTAACTGCTAATACTTATTTTTACATATCAGGCTGATAATGGAGAAGACGCCAACATTTGGGTTTGTGCTTTATTGCTAGCCATACTTTTCCAGGACAGAGAAATCACTCGCGCACATGCAACAATGAAGGCTGTTCCAGTGCTCTCAAATCTTGTGAAGTCAGAGGAATACGCAGACAGATATTTTGCAGCACAAGCTCTAGCTAGTCTTGTCTGTAACGGTAGTCGGGGAACTCTTCTATCTGTTGCAAACTCCGGTGCTGCGGCTGGGTTTATATCATTGCTTGGTTGTTCTGATGATGACATAAAAGAACTTCTGCAGCTGTCGCAGGAGTTCGCTTTAGTGCGATACCCGGACCAGGTTGCCCTTGAAAGGCTTTTCCGAGTTGAAGATATTAGAGTTGGGGCTACTTCTCGAAAGGCGATTCCCTTACTGGTTGAACTTCTTAAACCAATTCCAGACCGCCCCGGTGCTCCTCTACTTTCACTTAATCTTCTAACTCAGCTTGCCGGAGACTGTCCACAAAATATGATTGTCATGGTAGAGTCAGGTGCTCTTGAGGGCCTCTCGAAATATCTCTCCCTTGGACCTCAGGACGAGCAAGAGGAAGCTGCAACTGGTCTTTTAGGCATCTTGTTTAGCAGTGCTGAAATTCGAAGGCATGAGTCAGCATTTGGCGCCGTCAGCCAACTTGTAGCAGTTTTGCGTCTTGGTGGAAGAGGAGCAAGGTACAGTGCCGCCAAGGCATTGGATAGTCTCTTCACTGCTGACCATATAAGAAATGCAGAGTCTTCTAGACAAGCTGTTCAGCCATTGGTAGAGATTCTTAACACTGGTTCAGAGAGGGAGCAGCATGCTGCTATTGCTGCACTTGTTAGGTTGTTGAGTGATAATCCATCTCGGGCTCTGGCAGTTGCAGATGTGGAGATGAATGCGGTGGATGTTCTCTGCAGGATCCTTTCTTCAAACTATACGATGGAACTGAAGGGGGATGCTGCAGAGCTGTGCTATGTTCTGTTTGCAAATACAAGGATTAGGTCTACAGTTGCTGCAGCACGTTGTGTTGAGCCACTTGTCTCTCTTCTTGTGACTGAGTTCAGCCCTGCTCAGCATTCAGTTGTACGTGCACTGGACAAGCTTGTCGATGATGAACAACTGGCTGAACTAGTTGCAGCTCATGGTGCTGTGGTTCCTCTTGTTGGCCTTCTCTATGGTAAAAACTATGTGCTTCATGAGGCTATATCCAGGGCTTTAGTAAAGTTAGGTAAGGACAGGCCTGCTTGTAAACTAGAAATGGTGAAAGCTGGAGTTATCGACTGCGTACTTGATATTCTCCACGAAGCTCCAGATTTTCTCTGTGCTGCGTTTTCAGAACTGCTTCGCATCCTCACAAATAATGCTACTATTGCCAAGGGACAATCTGCTGCGAAAGTGGTGGAGCCACTTTTCCATTTGCTGACGAGGTTGGAGTTTGGAGCTGATGGACAGCACAGTGCTCTGCAAGTTCTGGTAAATATCTTAGAACATCCACAATGCCGTGCTGATTATACACTTACACCGCACCAAGTGATTGAGCCGCTCATTCCGCTGCTGGAATCTCCATCCCCAGCAGTACAGCAGTTGGCAGCTGAGCTTCTGTCTCATCTTCTCTACGAGGAGCATCTGCAGAAAGATCCATTAACGCAACTTGCGATCGGTCCTTTAATCCATGTGCTGGGATCCGGCATACACCTATTACAGCAGAGAGCTGTGAAAGCTCTCGTTAGCATTGCTCTAACATGGCCAAATGAAATAGCTAAAGAAGGTGGTGTGAGTGAGCTGTCAAAGGTGATACTGCAAGCTGATCCATCGCTCTCCAATGTGTTATGGGAGTCTGCAGCATCAATTTTGGTCATCATCTTGCAATTTAGCTCGGAATTTTACCTGGAAGTTCCTGTCGCTGTTCTTGTAAGACTGCTTCGCTCTGCATCTGAAAACACCGTCGTTGGTGCACTTAACGCTCTTCTAGTGTTGGAAAGCGATGATGGAACCAGTGCAGAGTCCATGGCTGAAAGTGGTGCCATAGAAGCTCTGCTTGATCTTTTAAGGTCTCATCAGTGTGAGGACACAGCAGCGAGACTGCTTGAGGTACTGCTCAACAACGTGAAGATTAGAGATTCAAAAGCCACCAAGACTGCAATCTTGCCATTGTCTCAGTACCTCTTGGATCCACAAACTCAAGCTCAGCAGGCACGATTACTAGCAACTTTGGCCCTTGGTGATCTTTTCCAGAATGAAGCTCTTGCTAGAAGCACTGATGCAGCTTCTGCTTGCCGTGCTTTAGTCAATGTCCTTGAAGAACAACCCACAGAAGAAATGAAAGTAGTTGCTATATGTGCTCTGCAAAACCTCGTCATGTATAGCCGGTCTAACAAAAGAGCAGTTGCCGAGGCAGGTGGTGTGCAGGTCGTCTTGGATCTGATCAGTTCCAGTGATCCTGAAACATCTGTTCAGGCTGCAATGTTCGTAAAACTACTATTCTCTAATCACACGGTTCAAGAGTACGCATCTAGCGAAACCGTCAGAGCAATAACTGGTGAGAATATCTCTGTACCTTTTGTATCAATACGATCTGCTCATTCTCATTATATATCTTATATCTCAGATGTTGCTTCCTTTTAATTTGCAGCTGCCATTGAGAAAGACTTATGGGCCACTGGAACCGTGAATGATGAATACCTAAAAGCCTTAAATTCTTTGTTTAACAACTTCCCGCGTCTAAGAGCCACAGAGCCTGCAACACTAAGTATACCACATCTAGTTACATCTCTCAAGACAGGATCGGAAGCAACTCAAGAAGCTGCCTTGGATGCGTTGTTTCTTCTCAGACAAGCTTGGTCAGCCTGTCCTGCCGAAGTTTCCAGGGCCCAATCAGTTGCTGCTGCAGACGCCATCCCCTTACTTCAGTACCTAATCCAATCAGGTCCACCGCGGTTCCAGGAGAAAGCTGAATTCCTCTTGCAGTGTTTGCCAGGTACGCTGGTGGTCACTATCAAACGTGGTAACAACATGAAGCAATCCGTTGGTAACCCGAGCGTGTTCTGCAAGATAACACTCGGCAACAATCCTCCTAGACAAACCAAGGTAGGAAAAGACTTATCACCCTTTCGTCAATTCACTGTGACTAGTGATTCCCTTAGATATCAACCGTATCTTTTCGATTTTCTCAGGTGATATCGACAGGTCCTAATCCAGAGTGGGACGAGAGCTTCTCATGGTCATTTGAGAGCCCTCCTAAAGGTCAAAAACTCCACATTTCATGCAAGAACAAAAGCAAAATGGGAAAGGTATATCATCAAATTTAACTCATATTTCACAGTTTTAAGTTTTGCGGTCTATCGTTCTTTTAAAATCTGACACTCTGTTTTTCCCTCCTTTTTTTTCCCGCAGAGTTCCTTTGGGAAGGTAACGATCCAAATCGATAGGGTGGTGATGCTGGGAGCAGTTGCAGGTGAATACAGTTTGTTACCAGAAAGCAAAAGTGGCCCCAGAAACCTTGAGATCGAATTCCAGTGGTCTAACAAGTAAACCACCACTTGATTTTTTGTTTTTGTTTGAGAGGTTTCTTAAATTGAAACTTCTGCTTCTTTTTTTGCCAAATTTTTTTAAAATCGTTTGATTTATAATGCTACTGTATATAGTTTGTATTGTAATGTAATGATTACAAATGGGGTTTTATCTTCTTCTTTTTTTCTTAACTGTGTGTTTACTGATTCAATTCATTTGTAACATTTTGTTGTCCTCAATTTGTATGTGTAGCTTCATATTTGTTCATCTTTTGGAGTGCCTATAAAGTTTAAACGTAAATGATGTGAGAACCTTTTTACTTTTCGTTTACTTTTAGAAGTTTGAGATCATTTAAGACGTCAAACTTGTGAGTGACAATAATGAAAAATAAAAAACCAAGATACAGAGATCAAAGAAACATATTACTAAGCGGTTTAACAAATGCATTGTCAAAAACCACAACAAGAGAAAATTAGAGGACTTGAGTCTTGAGGTTACAGTAGGATTAAGTTTCAGAGGAGGCAGAAACTTATTTTGAACTTTCTGTATGATACAGTTTTTGAGAAGGTCAAAGAGATCACTGATGTCTTTAAGTTGTTCCTCTTCTGTTGAAATTTTCTGTATGATACGGTTACAAACGAAGACATGGTTTTAGTTCTACATGATGATCAATTAAATCTTTACCACGGGCGTTGTGTTTGGTTTTACAACACATCCGTGCAGAAGTTTGAGCGCATGAGTAAATTTGATTCACCAAGTGGATAGTAAACTACATAAGAAAATAATGGGAGGAATTTGAGGCATAACTTTAAGATAACAGAAGTTGCATTGCTTAGTTTTCGAGAGGGAGGTGGAACCTAAAAAGCACTGCCTTCGTCATCACTGTTCGTGTGTTGATACAAGGCCTGTTTTGTTGCAAACACAAGAAGAAGAACATGAGAGGATTTTGAGGCACAAGAGAAGTTAAACTATTTAAATCATAGAGGGGACGCATAACCAAACTAAGACTTACGTCTTTGAGCAGGCTAAAGAGATCCCGCTCTATGTACATAAGATAGATGTCCTTAATCTGCTCCTCTTCTGTTGCTGCCTCACGCTCATCCTGTATGAAACAAAACAAAACAAAACAAAACAAATGTTGAAATCAAAGAAAACAAAAGAATATATGGGTTTATTTCTACTACATGACCGATCTAGTCGTTACCATGGACATTATGCATTCCATATGAAACACATCCTCGCAGTGATTGCATGAATAGCGAAATTTTTCAGATGTTTCTATGTCTAATCCACATAGAGAACAACTCATCCTGCACCAAGAATAACTTTGCACAACAATGTGTTGATGTTGTTGATTCTTCACATTAGCCGGAAACCCAATACACCCTACATGGGCACTGAAGTCATTACAACCAATGCAGCCGTAGAAGGATGCACCACATGGTTTACCACAAATACTGCATGCTCTATTCAACCGCGAATCATCCATCCAAAAGTTGTAGAGATAGTGCTTGTGAGACTTGATCTTTCCTGATATACTCACCGCTTCGATGCATTCAATATGGAAACTGACTTTGCAAGTGGAACAATTATAACCATACCGTTTAATACTCAGTTTACAGGCAATGCACTTGGATCCACTTGTCAGTTTTATTTCTAGACTGTGATCAGAATGAAGGGGATGACCGCGCCGCTCTTGTCTCCGAAGTTGAATACACCGGGGATGATATATATCTTTACATGTCACACATGTCAAAACTTTTCCACACAACCTCTCAACACATATAGTGCAAGCCGTAGCATATGACCTCGATACCATAACTTCAACCAAGTCATGCATCCTTCTGAAGCATGTTCCTTCAGTGGTTAATCCAATGAATTTCTGCCCCCTATGTAGTTCTCCAAGAACTTGTTTAGCTCTTACCATACATTTGGTACAGATGATAAAATTGCATACCCGACAGAAGAGGTTGAAGTTTTCTATTTTTGTTTTGCAGGTGTAGCAATTCATTATAAAACCTGCAGGGTAACTTGGCAAGAGTGTCAAAAGATGGTTCACATGAAATCTATGCCGTGATGGTTTCCTCAGCTCTATGCAGTAATCATGTGCCATAAAGATACAGGTCTTGCATTCCCATGGTCTACCAAGTATGTCCCCATCACATATGTTGCAGACCACACGAAGAATGTCCTTAACGTCGCCCAATGTCATCATATGATTATGCCAAATATCAGTAAGCTGCAACATATAGCTAAAGCAATTGAGAGAAGGTGGGTCTAAACAAAGAAAAAACATTTCAAATTTCTTCCAACAATGTGTAGGTTATTATTATTAAATTCCATACCAAGAATTTATTTTCTGATTCCTTGGCTTCATAGTTTTCTCTATCTATTGGTCTCGTCATGTCGTCGCCACAAGGATACAGATCTTTCAAGTACAACGGGGAAGGAACTTTCTGTTGATTATGAGTAAGAGTAGGTCAATATCATCATTAAGGAAACAAATAGAATTGAGGTGACAAATTAATTATCTCGCATAGAATGCATTCAATGTGGGCAACAAAATCTCATTCTTCGCATGAATATGAATGATGTCTTGTGTGCAATACTGTCTCGCAAACGCCACAATACTCCAAAGAATCATCCTCCGGTAAGAACACTTTACACACAAGTGGATGAATGTGACAAGATTTCTTGAAAACAGACTCGGGTATTCCAAGACATTCGAAATGAAATTTCATACCACACTCCACGCAATGATAGAAGGATTTAAGAGAGATCACATCCGTTCTCATGCATATTTGACATGGGGTTTACTCTCCAAAAACGTCTTGAGCACCAGTATTTACATAAAACAATATGTGGTGATGAGACTTATGTATCAAACCTCGCAACAAATAATCTGCACACCTCATGTGAAGATCAAAACCGCATTCAAGGCAACCAAAAGGGGCACCATCGATATAAAGCCCGCAGGCATCACACAATTTTCCACTACCACAAGTATGTGTGAAATCAAGGCGTATGAGAGGGTGTGCCAGATGCACATGATGCTGAATCTTTCTCAGGAAATCAAGGCAGCGCTCGTGAACAAATGAGTAACATTGAAAGCAACCGTAACATATTGCAGAGGGAGAAAGAGGAAGCTCACAGAGAAGGCAAAATCCTTTGACATTTCGTCCTGGTCTACATCTCCTAATCAAGTGGGCGTGGCTATATTGGAGCATTTCTTCAGCGTTCCAACCATTAGCGATGTTCTTCAAAACCCCACAGCCCAGCTCCAAGTAAATTTCACATTTTTTACACTTGTAATAGAAGGGCTCAGTAAACAAATTCCCACACCCAGAGCAGAGCATGTCTAAAGATTTCCCATCATCTTTGCTTACACAAAACTCTAGAGGGTGCTCAGGGTGAAAATCATGCGACACCTTTTGTGGTATCTTTGAGCAAGCCTTACATAGATCGAAGTTACAAGGGTTGCAGGCAAACTCCACAGGTTCATCTTTGTAGCACATGTTGCAGATGCCGTCTACAACTATCTCCGGCGAGATCAACAAACATTCATGGGATCCGTGCTTGAGCTCTGCCATCGTGATGGAAGCAAAAAAAGTCAACGAAGATCAGATACTAGGAGGGACGAGAGACCCCGCGAAGCAAGAGAGTACATAGAAAGCATTCACGGGCTTATTTTTGGCCCATTACATCACTGTAGTAAAATTAAAAACAACGTTAACAAAAACAGCTGAATTCCTCTTGCAGTGTTTGTCAGGTTCATCACTGAAGCAGAAACCATGTTTGAGATCTTCCATTGCAATGTCAATAAGAATGTTTAACTGGAGTAAGAACCTTTCTTTTTGTGGTTTACTTTTCGGTTCTACAGTACAATAAAATACTTCTAAGACAAACCTGATAATGTTGGACCAGTCGAACTTATCCAAAATGAATACGAACCGATCCAAAAAGAGAGCACAAATTTTAGTGTTGTTAAAATGGTTTTATTTTATCATTCATGTTTGAAAAGAATCGAAGTTCTTCGACTCTAATTAACACCTGGAGAAACTGTGAAGAAAGCAGCACCATTTTCGACGTCATCAGTCTTAATGGCTCCATTGTGAGACATGAGAACTCTGTATATCCGCTTTGAACAAACCTCACCCAACCTTATGTCTCCTCCCACTAAACCTTCCACTTTCAAGTCTTTTAGTAGAAACTCCTTCTCATGAACCTGAAAAGAAAAAAAAAAGACACAAAAGAACCTGTTCATTTGTTTAACACAATTTGCTTCAGAAACCGTTAGAAACAACAAACTAAGAAACTCAAATCCAAGTATGTCTCACATGTTTTTACTTACCGATTTGTTACGGTCCAGATAAACCTTAAGAAGAGACTTCATGGAGGGATATTTCTTCCACACTGCTAAAGCGTATCGTGGCTGCACCTTTGGTATTGCTACTAACGCTTTTAACCTATAGACCAAAATATTTTTACTTATTAAACAGATTCAAAGAGACTAAAACACAACCTATTTTCAAAATGGTTCTACTTTACTTTACCATGGACTCTTTTTAATCAAGTGCTTGTCAACTGAATCCTTGGAGACTAATGCACCATTAGCGCTTACTGAGAACATAGTTAACTTCTTCCTGTGCATCAGATAGTAGAGCCATGATTAGTTTTGCTAAATCATGCAGAGAAATACATTATCAGCCACACGTTTATCTATCATCTCAGTTCTACGTAGTGTTGATCTTCCAGATCATCATTCGGTACTCAGCCTTGTATGATTTAAAGACTATAAGAGGCTTTATAGATTTAACTTCAAGACGAGCCTTACTGCCCATTTTTTGTGATGAGCTCCCAATGTGAGATCTTTATTTCGTTAAGTTGTTAAACACGTGAAGATGCATATGATTTAGGCTTCACGGGTTTTTATCAAGATGTTATTGGTTTGATTGGTCTAATGGGATTCACTGAGGAAAGAAATCAACACTAAGAAATCAAAGCTTCCATCCAACATCATATCGAGATAAAGTCTTTTGTAAGAGAAATCAAAATAGTAGATTTTTGTACCTAAATTGGCAAGAGGCTAGACTGCTTGTTAGGCCAACAACATGTTCAGCCACCTCAGCCTCGTCTACACAGTGTCTGGAATGTACTTTAACATAGTGAGTAGTTAATTTTGCAAGTACCTGTGTAATACACATCAAATGCCCCAAAATTATGTTTAAAGACACAAACATAGGAGCAATAAACAGGCTTTCCTCTAAATAGATGCTCATTACCTCATCGATAGGAGGCCGTCTCCAATTTCCCGGGTTTTTGTACTCTTCCTTTTCCCTAGAAGATTGGTTTTATTTAGCTTGATGATGGAAACATTTTAATATAACACAAATTTACTTTATCAAACACACCTTTTCTTTACGTACGACATTAACTTATTGGTGAGGCAGCACACCGTATGAAATGGGTATCGGTCCTGAACTCTTGAGATGTTTTCTAGAAACTTTTCATTAGCAACAAGATTACAAAATTCTTCAGCTTCATATACAAGTAGCACATAAGGAATCTTCGGCCCTTGGGGAAAAAGCTGCAACAGAGAAAAGAGGATGATAATTAAGAGTAAAATAAGATACTGGATACAGATGATTCATATAGGTTTAGTCAAGTACTGATCTTCAAAGGCCTTTGAACCCATAGCAAAAGGGTTTCATTTCTTTTGTTATATCTCATAATATGTAACGCAATTCAATGTCAGGTGTACTGAAGTACTCTTTGATCGATCTCCTTCTAAGAAACAATTATCTCATTCTTAAAGATGGAAGTTCAAGAAAAATATTGAAGAAAAACACTCAAGCAAAGTAAGTTTGATAAAAAAAAATGCATGGATCTGAAACACAAGGAATAGAGCACCATGAACTTTAAATAGTTTTTCAAAACCTCCTGCCATTCGAAGACTATCCAGAGATGAAATCATAGATTTGACAACCACCACTAAAATTACGAAGATATGTAACTTGCAACGCAGAAGAGTATGATCCAAATGTCAAAGAAATTTTGAAACACATGCTTATCCTGACATTAAACAAGGATACGGACCAGACTGGGGGAGCTGATTCTAGTTGCAAGTTCTGGATTCTAAGAACTAATTTTCATACATGTCAGTTGTGAGACTCAGGATGCAAGCAAGTTTATAAACATTAGAAAAAAATTCGAAAAAGAAAAAAAGTAAAGTGACTGAGAATTAATTGTACCGGAGCAATACTCTCTGGAATTGTCATTGTCCACACAATGGATCTCTCAATTGGATTAGGGCCTACATGGATTGTAATGCCTTTCTCAGAGAACCTTGAAAGCAGAAGTCCTATGTTAACATTTATATGAAACAAAAAAGAGAGTCAAAAGAGCAAACATCATCATATATTTAAGAGTAATACAAAGAATAGAGAAATTCCTTACCTCCAATGGATCCTTCAACCACTTTAGTATCAATCTCGGCAACAATAGATTTAAGGGCTAACTTCCCCTTTTCCCATTTTTTCTTTTCCTTCTCTAATCTTTTACGCTCAGCTTCTTCTGCTTTTAAGGCTGCTTTCTCTAATCTCTCTTGCTGGATGATGGAAGCCAGTTAACTATTGATCAGGAAACAAAAAATAGAAAAATTTACTTACAAAAAACTTACCTCTTTTCTTAACTTCTTTTCCTCCATTGCACATGTTTTGTCTGCCTTCGACAGCTGCTTTTTTGGCAATGCCTCACCTGGAAGAGTTGTAGTTCTGATCTTATTTTTTCGACCCATTTTCTCAACGCTTATATCCTCTTTTTCTTGGTCAGAATCAACCTGATACCATTTAGAAAAAAAGAGTAAGACGAAACAAAATGAAAGGAAAAACAGCAGCACAACCTGAACTCTGAAGACACAAACAAATGACACACTATGAGAATCCAGAAGTGTAAAATCCTCTAAAAGACAGCTTTGCAAAATCACACAAGGAATAGAGTCAAGGTTCCTAATCATGTATCAATGATGAACAATATGGTACTAGTTTATTGCAGATAAGTACCTCGATAGTATCATTAGTCTGCGAAGAGCGAAAACTAACTTCATGCATCCAATTAGTATTATCATCTGAAAGAAAACAGCAACCAGCATTTACACGTGGACAATAAAAATGAAGTTCCATCACGCATACACTGATACATATGCAGAATAATTTGGTTAAGCATACCTAAATTTGTCTCAGTTATTCTAGTATTCTTATAGTATGCCTCACTGGTTCCAGCTTCCAATCCAAAACGTGGCTCCCTAAAACCAGCAAGCACGGATTCATACTTCTTCGAAGATTTAGGTCGAGGACTGTCTTCAAACTCCGAATCCAGAGATATTATCCGTTTTCCTAGTGAGATTCCAAAAGAAACATGGAGAAGTAAGGGAATCATTGTTCAACCTGATGATTCAAGTAACACCAGCAACCTAAATTCCCCAGAAATCACAAAATTTCACTAGTAGAACACTTTCCGGTATCAGTGAATGCTGAAACTAAACCTAAATACTGAGAATCGAGAAAATTCCGAGGACGAACGTTAACATACCGGAGAATTTGTCTTCGCGGTTAGAAGCTAAAGCTCCAGAACCAAAGGAACATTTGACGACAGATAAATCATCGGAAAGAGGTGTATCAGGGACGAACAAAGGAGTGGAAGAAGATTCCGGCAGTTGCTTCTGCGGTGTCGGATCTGAATCCGAAATCAGTATCGCAGAGATGGGATCTTTTCGAGCACGCTTCGAAAGTGATTGAAGTGGAGTAGCCTGATCTTCTCCGTCGGAGATGAGAATGTGATCCTTCATGGAAGAGAGAATTTGAATTTCGCAGGAGCGCGGGATTATCGAGGAAGATATGATGATGATGATGATGGTTCGAATTCGTAATCGCCGATAACGACGATACGGAGAGGTTAAGCATTGTTTGGCTACAGGTTCATCTTCATACTTGACCATGTCGGGTTTGGTAAGTAAAAAGGCCACTGGATTTTGCCGAACTATTCTCGCTTTTATGGCCCAATAAGAGGCCCACACTAGACGAGTTAACAAAAGTCGCTGGACAAAACCGAACCGAATATGCCGAACCGAAACAGAAGCAAAAAAACCGAACAGAACCGAACCAAAAATTTGAAAATATAGCCGAATGGATACTAAATTCTATAACCGAAATAACCGTAACCGAATCGGTACCGAACCGAAATATTTTGGGTAACCGAAAATTCCCGAAATATAATTATATTTTAAAAAATATTAGTTATTATAGATCAAATAATCAAAAATACTTGAAAAATATATAAAAATAGTAAAAATACTCAAAAATAATCCAACAATATCCAAAAATATCTAAAAAAACCAAAATATCCGAAAATATTCAAAGCAAAATAACCAAATGGATAATAAATTTTAAAACCGAAAAAACAGGAACCGAACCGAAACCGAACCAAAATTTCAAAATGCCCGAAGTGACACTAAATTTTAGAACCGCAAGAACCAAAACCGAATGGAACCGAACCGATAACCGAACGTCCAGGACTAGTTTTAATTGGTGACCTTTTTGAGGAATAATAAAATGAAGAGGAATCTTTTTACTTGGTCAAAATTTGTTACCATTTACCATTTTGTTTTGGGGCTTTTGCAAAAATGCCCCTTTTTCAATGCCATTTTTCAAAAATGTCTCTTCTTTAAAACCTTATAAAAATGCTCTTAAAAATATAAGATTTACCCAAATATGTATGTAACATTATTAAAACATACACAAACTACATTTCTATGTATCTAAAATCTTATAAATACTTTATAAATACCTTATAAATGTATTTTAAATACCTTTAAAAACCTTTAAAATATCTTGTAAAACCTTTGAAAAACCTTAAAAATCCTTTAAAATAACTTGTAAAACCTTTAAAAACACCTTATAAAACCTTATAAATACTTGGATCGAGTCTTCAAGTAGTAGTTATAATCCATAAGTACCTTATAAACCTAATAAAACTTTATAAAAATTTCAGATTTAAAAATAGGTATTTTTGAAAATGGACATCTAAAAGGGGCATTTTTGAAAAAGGGCACACCAAAAGGGGCATTTTTAACAATTTCCCTTTTGTTTTTCAATTTTCAGACATGTGAATCTTATACTATTGTTCTTCATTTTCCATGGAGTAAAGAATTATAGAACTTTCCAAAGTTGAAGAAGAATAATAATGAACAACTATAAAAAGCCGACATTATTATCATCATCATCAATAACAGAAGTGTTACAAACTAAATTCACTTATTTATTTATAAGCTGATAAAGAAAATTGCATCTAAGACGATGAAGACAACTTTTTTGCTCATGGTTCTTGTTTTTTTGATAACTTGGCCTTGTTCGAGTGCTCAACCGATCGATCCTAACGCATGTTGGCAGACAATTAAACACCCACCACATGAATGTCTCGAGAGCATAAAGGGCATTGTACACGGACATGTCCATGAGATCAAGAAAGAATGTTGCGAAACCGTAAGCACAATTTCTGATTTGTGTTGGCCAATCATCTTCCCAAGCATGCCTTACATTCGTTTTCTATTGAAGGGTATCTGTACAGTCAAATACTCATTGCATTGAAGTGCCAATTTGAAGAGTATTTTACTTCGTTTTGATATTCTTAAGAATGACAATTTAATTATCTATTTTAATATTTGTCAAATGTATTTTACATATAATTATCTTTTTATATTTGGTTGAATGAAATTACAATCTGTTTTTCATATAATAAAATTACAAGTAATGAAGATTGTTGGCTCTAGTGAAATTATCATCAACCAACGTCATCACATCAATATGTTTCCGGAAGGCCACTTTCTCTTAAGCTCATTTCTACAACAAAGCTATCCCAAAATCAACAATACATACACAAGTATCAACGAAGTCATCATTACATACACACAGAGAAAATCATAAAATTTACACTTATCTCGAATCGAATCCCTCTTTCTTTTTTCTCGATAGATCCATAACACCTATTTTTGGTTACTAGGTTCTTATACCACATGAGAAACTATATGCTTTAATTAAAAATCAATTAGTAATGAGTTTATTGGTATGTATGTGATAGATTATTCCTAAAATGCCTTTTCAAAATGATAATTCTAACCATTTATCTTGACAGAATCTCATTATAGAGGATCATTTTCATGTAGAGTAGAAGGGAAACACTCTTTATTAAATCTTCGAAGCTCTTACAGAAACAAAAGTGGTCACATTATGAGTGGAACTAACAAAATAAAACCCAAATCTGAAAACAGGAAAGAGTTAGAAACTCTTTAATTATTATTATTTAGGACATTGAAACCAAATCCTAATAGAAAACATCTAAGGTGGAGTCTGTTTTAGAGAAGCCAATGAACTCGACTTCAACCTTAATCGCATCGTCCACCACTAAACCTTTAGATGCATCTTTAAGATCAGCAAGTGATACAAACTTCTCGTAACCCCATCCATTATTATTAGTTGTTGCATTAGGCCATCCCTCCACTGTCCATCAAAATAAAAATAAATGAATTCAATGAAAAGTTTTAGTTGTTAACAAAATTAAAGGACACATAAATAGTGAGAGAACACTGACCTAGCTTCTCGACGTGGTTGGATCGGATTTGGTCCAGAACTCTTAGCTTGGCTCGAACATAAGCATTTTCATTAGAATCACTCAGCAAATAGAGTGACAATGAATTGCCCTTTCCATAACCATCTCCATTTGGATACACCTTCAACACCCTATTTCATTAACATTACTTATTAATACATTGAAAGATAGATATAATTAAAACATAGAAAGAGACAGAGAAAATCACCAGCTACTTCCTCCGGAAGAAAATGGGGCGGATGTGTAAGAGTCACTATAGAGAGTTGAGAATTTGGTGAGTTTCCATGTGTAAATGGGGTCTTTATGTTTTCTTCAAAGGAGAAAACTTCCCATTCCTTGAAGGTTTGAGCAACGAAGATGTCAATTCCAAACACACATTGTTCTCCATCGAAAATGTATCCGGTTGTCGGCGTTGAGAACACCGACGTCGGTTGAAATAATGGAACTCCATATTCAGGTTTGAACAAATGAAACCTCCTCGCCTCAGTTTCTACAATAATTTTTTTCATTTTTTGTTGGACCCAAAAGATTTACATAATAATTAACATTTCCGGTTACAATAAAATCTCTATCAATTAATAATATCAAAAATATATTAATAGAGAAACATTTTAAAAAAAAAAACTTACCATCATGTGTTATTAACAAGATTGCTTAACAAGATTGCCACGCTGATGTGTCGCTCTCACAATGATTTGGTTTCAGATTTATTAGACTATTTATAGAATTTGTCATTAGTCTAATACATTCATATATCCCATTAATAATTAAAAACATACACTTTTTGTTTATCTTATATTACTATATTTTTATATTTTTATATTTCTTTATATACATTTATATAAATTTTCTTTAGTGGATGGGTAAACAATCTTTTTATTTATATTTATATTTATGTTTATATTTAAATGATAAAATATATATATTTGGTTCAAGAATCTCGAATTCAAAACTACAAAATCTTTACATCTTTCATAAATTTTTTACTTAAATAAATAAGATAATCTCCTTTCTATATATGTTACGAATACTTAAAATCCTATTTTTTGGAGGAGTTCTAACTTTTCAAAGAAAAACATTATAACCATATTTGTATATAAACCAAAATCTGGCCACATTATAACTATTTCGTAAGTAATCCATTCATAATCTAAGAATCTTAGATTTGGAACACTACAAAATCTTAGCTTGGAAACTATCAAATCTCAACTTTGCTAAATTTTAGATTTCTTATACTTATTAAAAAAAAAAAAAATCTTTTTATACTACAAAATCTCGAAATCTTTAAAACATACGGAAAGACATATTGCCATAAATGGTAACATTTCGTCAATACTTTTTTATCACGTTGAAGCTTTATTCAAAGTTTAAATATTTCACGGGTAAAACATATTCTTATATGAAATAGTCCCAAATTTGAATAAAAAAAAAAAAATTGTAACATGTTTCGTTTTACACAAACGGATCTTGGATCCCGGATAATAATTTTACTTGAATCTATCCCGGTATTAATTTATAGAGGTTATACTGTAATTAGAACGTTTTAGGCATTAATCTCCCTAGATTAATAAATTCACAAAGCTTATATCATCATTTTTCAAACATAGCAATAAACTTGAAGTAGGTCTAATAGCAAGGTAACAACACTTTTTAAACCGGATAAATAAGATGTATAATAAATAACTAAATATCAGTCATCGACAATCTATCAATACGTTACCTACCTTGATAGGTGTAGTACTTGTCGTAGACTCTGTTGTAGACGAAGAACTTGACCTCTGCATACACATCCTTTGGATCGGAGATGAGAGTTGAGTTATCGATTCTTGCGTAAAGCGAAACATAACCATTCGCACCATCTTTTTTGTTGCCATTCGGGTAGATTAGGAACGTCCTTTTAACATTTTAATTGATAGGCAAATGTTGTGATTAGTGAGAAAAGTCAAAAAAGATATAAAAAATCAGATTCTTGAAAATATGTTATTGAGACTTTTAATACCAATTGTATCCACCGATGGTGAAAGGACGTGACTCATACTTCCCATCTTTCACGAGTTTCAACAACGTCGCTAAAGACTGGAACTTGATGCAGTAAGACGTAGGAGGACGCTCTCTCCATAGTGTCGCCACGGCTGAGAGCTTCTCGTGTTTGTCTTTCTTTGGAAGAGAAGAATCAGAGCTCGAGCTCGTAAAGTGACATGGCGAGACCGTGTTCTTCACGTAATGACTTCCTTCTACTACTGCTTCTGCTACTGTCTCTGTTATTATAGCGTCTGTCTCGGTTAAGAGGTTTTGCTTAAGGTTGTAATAAGGTTTTGCGCATCTTACCACTTCTGCAAAGAAAACGAAATAGAAGAAGCAGAACAAGAAGACTGATTTTGTGGCTATCTTCTTCTCTGTAACCATTTCTATTATTTGGAGAGTTTCAAGGTTTGTGTTGAGAATCTAATTTTGACCATTGTATTATATAGAAAAATAATTTTGTTCATCTATTGCCAGTGAAGGAAAGACCAGGAGGGTAAGGCAATAACTTTTTGAAATTGTTGTAAAATTTTTATTATTGTAATAGATTGGGACATAGTTTTTTCTGTTTTTAATAATAAGATTGGGACTTGTCACATAGTACAATCTTATAATATTATAAGAATTTCACGTGGTATTTTAAAATCTAGCACGTTTGATTTTATCTAATTATAGAATTTCTATGGTCGCTAACGACGCAAATGATCTGAAAAAAATTATTATTCAGAAAATAATCAAGTGACAAAATCGTAAATAAAAATAACTCAAATTTTAGCACATTTTTTAAAATTATTTCTCGTATTCTACATAACCCAATTTAATTAAGTAGCATAAATAAATTGTTTACTTTACAATTTACTCTTTAAATAAGTTGTCTAGAGTTTATCGACGATGATATATAACCACAACATTCAATAAAACAAAAATAACTCTTGAAAGCTTGCTTCCATGATTAGGAAAAAATACGTAAGATTTTAGAAATCCTTACCAAAAAAGGACGTAACTTAGAAATTATGGTTATTATATTTAGTGTTGATGATAAAATTGAAAATGATACTACTATATACATATCTTAGTTTAAAAACACTAAGAAATTATGAAAGAAATTTGATGCATTAAGAAACATATATAGAGATGAGTTAATTTAATTTTAAGAAGAAAAAACAATAAACAATAGTATAATCATACTTCTGTTAACTATCAAAACTATGGCTCCGACTCGTAGCACGCGTTAGTAAAATTGAGTTGCAATAGATGTTGCAATTTGATGTAATTTGCTGTAAAAATTATGTGGTAAAAACTGCAGTTTGATGTCATAATTTGCTGGAAAAATTTACTCAGATGTTATAGAAAAGTATGTTTATTATTAGAATATCATATATCTTTTAAAAATTACTCATATGTTTTGAGCATTTGTGTAATTACAATTAACACCCTTCATTAGTTTTTTTTAATTAATAATTTTTAATTCGTTTTTAATTAAAAATAATAAATAAAATTTTGATTATCCATGTCATTAATCCACATCACCAATCTCACACTCCTCAAACTAACGGTATTTCTCCTCTTCTCTTTTTTTGTCTCCAAATCAAAGAAAAGCTTTTAGATCTAATAATCTGTAACTAACTTGGGTATAACATTGACAGAGATCTTCAAATTGCAGGATTTGGCTGGATCTTCCTAGACCTCAAAGTCACAACGCTTGTCATAGGGTCCCAAATCAAAAGCTTCGTCAGATCTACTCGCAACCTCTCTCACGAAAAAAGTCATCAAAAATCAAAACCTAAATCAAAGAGATCTATGGAATTCTACATGATTCATTACAGGTTTGAGTTGAAATCAAGAATAGCTACTCTTTTACTTTGATTTTACATGTCTCTCGTTTAATCTTCCTCTCAATCGATCTATTTGGAGATATTTCTACTTCTATCTATGTTTTGATTCATACGGTTTAGTCTTCCTCCTATGTATCCCTCAAACATATTTT